GGCCCCGGCGAGACCAGCCTCTGTCCATGGCGGGGTTGGGGGACGCGCCAGCTTGGCCGTGGCAGCAGGAGGCAGGGACACTCCAGCCCAGAATGGCCTTCCCAGCTGTCCCCTTTTAATCAGTTCGCTGGTTAAACATTGCACCAGTTCAAGGGGATTTTGCACCCCTAGTGCCCATCTATCTTAGGGAGGTACGTGGCTCCGACATGCTGGCCCTCCCCCGCTCCTGTGAGGCAGGGCAGGTTCCTGGCAGGGCCAGAGAGGCTAGGTAGCTTGCCCAGAGTTACACAGGAAGTCTGTGGCGGAGCCGGACACAAACCCAGATCTGGTCCCAAGCCAGGGCCCTTCTCGTGGGACCATTTTTCCTCTCGCGGGGCTCGCTGCATGCCTGCCACACGACTCACACGATGCTCTCCCTGCGCATCCACTCCGCGGAGTCCACAGATTGCCAGGCGGGATTTGCGTACAAACACCCCCCCCGGAGGAGCCCTCGGGGAGCAAGGAGGCAGGACTGACACACAGTGCCGCTGCGCTGCTGAGTGGGGCCGTAATCCCACTACAGATGGGACCTCCCTGGTCCAGCCCCCGCAGGACCTGACCGGTCCCAAACAAGGGAGTTTGCTGGACCAGGGGAGGTCCGGCCTCCAGGCTCTCCCGGGGGGCCACCAACCTCCCAGCTGGACTCCCCTCCTGGCCATCGTCCCCACTGCCAGCCCTGGCCGCCGGGCTCCACTGCCTCCGAGCTCCACTCTTGGCCCTGACCATGAGGCTCCGCTGCCCTTGACCCTCGAGGCTGCCAGCGGGGGCTCCACTCCTGGCTCTGGCTACTGGGCTCCGCTTGAACTTGCGCCGCTCTTGCCAATCTCTGCTGCCAGGCACCTCTGGCCCCGGATCACAGATGTGGCTGGACCAGAGAGGTTCAATCTGTACTGAATCTTCCCAGAGCATCTCGAAGGGGCCAGGTTAGTGCGTAGAAGTCAGTCTAGGGGAAAGGATTCTAACTGGGCCACCCCACGGCTGACCTTGCCCTAGAAGCCAAAGATTTCAGTTCCTCCCGCTTGCCTCCCCCGTTGCTGTTTCTGCAAAATCTGTCGCTCTGAATATGAGAGACTCCATAGCTCGAACTCTCCATATTTACACGTTTAGGCAGCATTTCTCAGGGCTCTCCCGAAAAGCAACTATGCCAGGAGACCCAATCACAGCAACATGATTCCACACTCCGCCACATAAGTGGCACCAAACAGTACCAGGGCCAAGGCAATGCCCCAAATCCCGCTAAGTCAAGTCCCATCTCCACCAAAGACCATCAGATTTCAAGGCTAGAAGGACCTTTGCAATCATCTGTTCCACCCCGACCTCCTGCCCAGCTATAACTTTTCACCCAGCGATGGCTGCAACTAACTCACCCCTTGCGATCCCAGCTGGAGCATCTCTGACAATCCCCCGAACGTCGATAAAACTCTGCCTGCTGCAATCCTGCATCTCACTCACAGCTCTATCAAGGGATTCATGGGACTGTCAATGCAGCGTTTGGACAGGACGCCAGCAACCGAACAAGAGAAGGGTTTTTTTTCTAATCTGTTAGCCACTAGGTACTGGTGTATGTACTGCACATCGCATGAATATGTACTGCACATCACAGACAAAAGGTAGCACAAAACTTTATACCTGCACGGCATTATGCTTTCTCTTACTCGCTTCTGCTAAGCATCCCGGAGCATTTTCCAAAGCTGAAGTCAGTTTTGGATCTTGCAAACATGAAATTTGTCGAAGTCGAGATACATTTGTTCAACATCTTAGTACGGGTCCCTACGCAAACAACTGATTCGGAATGTTGCATTGAAAATGAAGAGGAGAAAAATACCGACTAAACCCACAAGTTAAGGAGCTGTTAAAATGCAGTGGGTTGGATTTTAGTGATACAATTTGCAAAACCATACTCTAAATGCAGCTAGTTTAAGTACGTATCCTGGAAACACACCTGCGTCAGGCAACACGCTGCAGGATAAGAACTGCTTCTCAGACAGAGGGTACGTCTGCTTCTTGTACTGTACTGTTTTATCTTCAGACAAGACATGTGCATGTGTTTGGGTATTTGGTCTCTAGCAGGCTTTTAATACCGAACCAGAAATGTATTCAAAACAATTGGCTACGCTTTTAGCCAATACAGGCAGTCCCCGGGTTACGTACAAGATCGGGACTGTAGGTTTGTTCTTAAGTTGAATTTGTATGTAAGTCGGAACTGGTACATATTGTAGGGGAAACTCTAGCCAAACATTTCTCCAGAGCTCAGTTTTATTCTCCCACACCTCACTTCCCTCAGTCCTTTATTCTCAAGCTGAGGTGTCTGCTGAAAAAAGCCGCTCTGCGTCTCCCTGGTCTGCTGGGGGGGGGGCTAGCTTCGCGTCTCCCTGGTCTGCTGGGGCGGGGGGGGGGGCTAGCTTCGCGTCTCCCTGGTCTGCTGGGGCGGGGGGGGGGGCTAGCTTCGCGTCTCCCTGGTCTGCTGGGGGGGGGGCGCTAGCTTCACGTCTCCCTGGTCTGCTGGAGGGGCGCAGCTAGTGCGGGGTTGCCTCACCCCATTTGTAAGTAGGGATCCGATGTAAGTCGGATCCATGTAACCCGGGGACTGCCTGTATAATTTGGCAAGCTAGAGAAGCAGGGCCGTCCTTATCCATATTCAGAATGTGCAGCTGCCTGGGGCACCTGAAAATTTGGGGTACCGCTGGGTCTTAAAGCCCACCCCCCCTCAATTCCTATCTCCTTTCTGTGGCTTCACTTCCTCTGGAGAGGATCTGGGTAACTGAAAAGTGACAAACCCTGCCAGACCTTGACATCGAACCGGTGAACGAGCCATT